ACACCATCAGGATCTTTTCCCACTCGGTCCTCTCAACAACTCACACCACCTCACTGGGGGAAAGAATAGCTCCGGCCACACCGGCTTTCGCGTTCCGCTTTCCGGATGACTGAACTTCTTTGCTTGCCTCTCCTGTCCCGGGCAGGGGCGTAGGGGAGTGAATTTGAAACTGCCCCAAAGCTGTGGAACCCGCACCCTCAGGGACTCAAAAAGCGACTCCCGTTCAGCGTCGTCCTTAAAACGAACCCCATCTCCACTGGCTAAGCAAGGAAAAGCAAAACGGGTGGGCGGAGGGGGCGGAAAGGGGCAGGATGGTTCCTGCAGATTTCACCGCTGCTCCGCTCGGGAGACACCTGCGGATCGCAAACCAGCCAGAGCCTAGAAGGGCACCCCCACTGCATCCGCCACCAATAGGAGGGGGTGTGGGAAAGCGTGTCCCTCACCTGCACCCAGAGCTTTCAAAAGGAAGCTGCGGAAAACAATGAGCCCTGGACTACGGGGCGAGGTGCAAGGGGTTGAGAACACTCCTGCGCCACCCCAACTCACCCCAGCTCCCCCTGTGGGGGCATTCCTGAGCTTTAATAATTAAAGTGGTTCCTTTAAGAGGGAGGCAGCCGCCGAAGGCCGCTGCTGCTGATTTGACTCGTCAGCCCCACACGCGGTCAGTGCAATGAAAGATCTGAATCTAGCTTTGTTGCTGCGCGACCAATAGCGGACTTGGGGAGACCAAACCTAGGATTTCTGGCCACTTCAAAGCACTGATTATGCAAATACCCATTTATTTTTTAAGAGTAAAAGAAAATGGAGGGGGAATTATTTATCACACAATGAACCCCCTGCCAGGGTGGGAAACAATAGATCAGACCAGATAGCCCTACTCGCCCCGGGCTGGGGGAGCGGGAAGGAGGAGGGGTGCTTGGAGCCCTCACGTTTTATTGGTCTAACCTAATTTCACTAATTCTCCTTTCACACATTTCTTTGACGGATTCGGAGGCCGGGACTTTTACGCTCCCGGCAGCGCCCTGCACTGGGCACAATTCAAGAGCTGCCCGCTTTATTTAATTAATACATTCAAAGCTCGCCTGGGAGCCCTAAGCGCTGGAGGGAGGCAGGCGCTGGCTAGGCTGAAGGATGAGGCGCTTTCAACCGGTTCCAGGTGCAGGCGCCCAGAAGTCAACCCGCCTGAGGCCGGGCAAGCTGGAGGTGCACCCGACCGGTGGGGGCGCAGCGGCCCCCAGCCTCACCCCACAACCTCCATCCTGTCTCCAGCCCAGCCGGGTGCCCTGCCACCCTTCACAGAACAGGCCTGTGGGCGCCGCTAAAACTGACCTATGAGCTGTCAGACAAAACTCTGGGAATGACCCCATCAGGGTCAAGGCCTCCGGAGCCCTTCCAGCAGCCTCGCCCCAGCCAGGCTGCACAGGGCTCCGTTCTGGAGGGCACCCACCCGGCTCAAGCCTCTCCTCCCACCCCTGGCTGGGCCTGAGGCTGGGGCTGGGGCTGCGGATGGGTGCCGTGCACCTGCAGGATCCAGAACGAGGCTGTCCCTTCTTTCTCTTTTCTCCCCCTTTTTGACCCTTGGCTGCATTTATGATATGTATGCGCTGTAACAAGGTCTGCACCTTTCAGAACAAGTGCACACACCAGCGCAGGAATCCTGGTCTCCCCCTGGAAGCAACACCCACTGAGGACAGCCAAGAGACGCTTAGGTGCCCGCGCGCTGAACCGATCTGGCACCACTGGAGATATGGGAGAGTCACCAAAGGAAAAGCTCCGCAGCGCTGTTGGAAAGAAGAAAAAGAAAAAGAAAGAAACCGGCTGCGACGCACCCCGCTGCCTGCGCCGGGTGGACTTGGCTAACTCATCGCAGTGCTGACCACCTTGTCCCCTAGTGTGGGAGCAGCGGCTAGACCCTGCAATTGCACCCATTCCTGCCACGGAAAAGGAAAAGGACGGTTTGGCTAGGGAGTGTGCCATGTTAGGGCAGGAGCACTCCCAGCTAGGAGAGTATTAGATGGCATTAAAAATAATAATAACTACAACAATTTACTGTGACTCAAGGCGTGCTCTAGGTGGGGAGGGAAATCTTGGGTTGAGGTTGTATGTGACAGAAGGAAGCCCGCGGCCTTCTATGGGCACCTCCAGGTAGAAACTGTGTGAAGGAAGCTTCTTACCAGGTGGGGAGTTATTTGTCCTATACCCCAAGGCTACCCATCCCTGCCTTTCCAGCTAAGCACTTAGGGTGGCTTTCAAGGGATCACTTCGCCAATTGAAGAGGATTCTCACAGTCTTGGAAAAGCAGTGGTTCCTTGGCATGATTTCTCTCTCTCTCTGTCTCATCTTTTTATTTTATTTGAAATGCAATGCTTGTGTTGCAGAAGAGGAGGGGATGTTTCATCTGTTCAGTCACTTTCCAAGTGGCCTCAATTGCCAGGGCAAGGCCAGGCGCCAGGAACTCCATCTTGATTGGCTGGCAGGGGCCCAAGTACACTGGCTGTCATCTGCTACTTTACCAAGCACATTAACAGGAAGCTGGGTCAGAAGTGGAGCAGCTGGGACTGCCACTGGCAACCTGATACAGTATCCTGTGTGGCAACACACTGTGCCACAACTCTAATCCCATGAACTGGAACTGCTGGCAAGTTTCTAGAAGAGGCACCTCACATGCCCAATATTATTAAAGGAGCAAGATGCTATTCCACAACAAATGGATGTTTTCAAGCTCTTGCATTACAATTGTTTTGTTTGACTGGCTTGCCTTTTTGTACACAAGAAACATAAATGTGTTTCTAGCCATATGCACCAGAGAAACATCTCCTTCTTACCACATCAGATAATGAAGGAGTAGCGAAGAGTTAGAAGGAAATTACAACAGTTTTGTCTTTTGTACAGCTATAAAAACTAAAAATGCCAGACTTTTCCTCCTCAGATAAAAATCAAATAATTAAAACAGGAAACACTAAAGCTGTTCCATGTGTTTGGAAAGAAGGAGGAGCTTCAGACAGATATCTGGGGGAGAAATTATCATTGTGTCATGCAGATGAGTGAGGATTTTGACTAAACTAGAAGCAGATGCTATCCATTGCTATCCAGGGGAAGGAGCAGGAGGGAAGAGGACTGTGAACAAATTAACTTTTCTTTAAACATAACCTTTTAGTTTGAGTTACGGAGAACAGTCTTGAGACTAGAATGTGGTCAGCTTTCACTGGTCATTTTTAACCTCAAATCAATCAAAGGTCTTTCATTGGTGCTTTGGAAATTGTGGTGTCAATTAAACCATTTTGTTTCCTCATAGAAGTTTTGACTATGTAATTACTTTTAAAACTATGTGAAAGCAGAGCTGTTTCCAAGGGATTTTTTTTTATCTACTCTGAATATATTCTTTCGTCTAAGAGTTTGCTTTTCAAATGAGCTAATTGGTTAAAGCAGCTAACACAAAATCTGCGTCCAAGGATGAATTTATTAGTAGTTGTGACAAAGATGTTAGAGCTGGAAGAGCAAGCTCCTAGGGTCCGCTATTCAGTTCTTTTAGGTTACAAGGGAGAAATAAAGCCAAAGATGTATAAGCACCAAATTCCTACATTTTGCATGAAGTTTCCACTTTCCTACTTTTTAAAATCAAAAATTTAGAGTTTATTATTAAACCTTAGAGTTTATTATGATGTAATCATCATTTTAATTTTGCTGCCCCCTTCTGTTCAGTTTTCTCAGAAATTAATTTCTTAAAGTCTTTTATTCAGTTATTCTTATTTGTGGCTCAAATACTATTGTTTCTTATAATTCTTCTGTGAAACTATACATGTTGCCCCCCTAAACACAAGTACTGTATCTGACACAGTGAAAAGCACAACTCGTGCACCTAAAAACCACACAAGCCAGGAAAAAAACAGAATGCAACACACAGCACTTACGAAAATTAGATACTTTATTATAGTTTAATCACAAGAACAATCTTGTTCTTCAAGACGTAAATACATACTAGAATAAACTCTGTCGCATATACAAAAAATACATACTTTTCCCATGAAAATTTTCTTTATAATAAATAGAAGGGAACACGTGTGTGGCTGATCCCAAGAACGCTCCGTGTCTGCTTGGGTTTTCAGACTGTTGATTTATTTTTAATCTCTTGAAAGAATGGGGAGTTCCCTCTCTCTAAAAGGTCGAGATAAATAATGCATGAAGCAAACCTCCCTCCTGATTTCTCCCTTTTCCTCCACATTTCTCCTTTTGATAGAGAGTTCAGCCTAAATTTCCACGCTTGTATTCAATCATTACAAAGCCTACAAATTATACAATGACTTCTAACCTGGCCCTCTAACAAAACAAGTCCCTCCCCCCCTTATAAATCATAACAGACAGATGGCAAAATGGTGAAGAGAAAGGAGAAAGAAGGACAGGACAATGGGCATTGTGACGAATATGGGAAACAGAACAAAGTGCACATCAGAGAGGGAAAGTTTGGTTTGACAGGTGAAATTCCCACAGCCTGCAGACAGCAATGGGAATAAAGCAGATGCTTGCCCTTGCAAATCTGTGGATAACATTATTACTGGTGAAATCATTCAAATGCTAAGATACATTTGTTTCTACTCGACATTAACATCTCTATGTGGTAGCAAAAGTGAAGAGATCACGAGAACTGGTTGAATCTCCACTGGGAGATTCACACGCACTCAGCGGGCGTGGCGTGGCTTGGCCGAGGGAGGGAGGAGTGGCCGTCCGCTGCGCACTCTTTCACCTTCGCCACCTCTTTTCCCAGCTCATCTTCCCTAGTCCCCATCCTGGCATCTTCGCGAAAGCCCATCTGCAGGAAGGAACCCACAACTACGGAAAGCAAGTGCTCCAAGAAGCGGGGTGAGTGGCTTCCAGAGCGCGGAGAATGGAGGCGTGTAAGGGCGGGAGGTGGGCTTGTTGGTGAGGAGGGGAGGACAAGCCACGGGTGCCAGTAAGGCCTGGCAGGTGGGCGGGGAGGAGGGGAAAGAGCAGAGACGGCAGTTCTAGATACAATCCCTGGCTATGGGGAGGTGAGATGCATAGCGGTGCTTGTCGGGAGCTGGGGCCTGCCAGTAGTCCAAGTCTGACCCGGCCGGGCTGGCAGGCGATAAAGTGCAACTGTAGGGGGAGGTGGAGTTAGAGACGGACGAGGACGGCGCAGGGCTGTTGGTGCAACTCCACGTGGAGGCGGACGACGGGCTGTCTGCGCTGCTGCTCAGGGTAGCGCTAGCGCCTCCTGGGCTCAGCAGCACAGCCTCGGAGAAGAGCGCCCCCGGCAGGCCCCCGCCGCCACCCCCGCAGTGGTCAGCCAGGCGCAGGGTCTCGGTGAGCGCCCAGATGTAGTTGTGGGCGAAGCGCAAGGTCTCAATCTTGGTGAGCTTGGCGTCCTCGGGGAACGTGGGGAGCACCTCGCGCAGCGCATCCAGCGCCGCGTTAAGGTTGTGCATGCGGTTCCGCTCGCGGTTGTTAGCCTTCAGTCTGCGCGTCTTCTTGATGCGCTGCACGGTCTCGGCCGTTTTGGCGCCGCGGGACATGGCCCGCGCCCGCGAGGGACGCCGCTTGCATTCGTGTCCCAGACCCAGTAACCGCGCGGGCCGGCAGCCCTCGGCAGCGACCGCGGCAGAGCTGCCCCGCGCCCCGGGTCCCGCCTCGGCCCCAGGCTGCCGACGCGCCCCTCCCGACGCGCCCATCTCCTCCTCCTCGTCCTCGTCTGCGCTGGACGACAGTGGGGTGAGGGCGGCCGAAGCCGGAGAAGCCGAGCCAAGTAACACCAGCACATCTTCCTCCTCCTTGAACTCCAAGGTCTCGGTTTTGACGAACATGCTGTAGGAGAGATAGGGGAGAAAAGAAGAGGCCAGTGAGATGTAAACACGGAAGCAGAGGCACGTTCCCCGTGTCACAGGGCATGCCCCCACGCACACCCGAAAACAGAAGGGGCTGCCAAGGCGCCGTAGCCGAAGGGCGGCGGGGGAGAATCCAGCCAGTGCTCTCCAAAGTCGAGAGTCCGGCACAGTGCAAGCAAGTTACGGCCGGCCAAGGACTGCTGTCCCGGCGCCATCAGCGGGTGCCAGAGAGGTCCCGACTGCGAGCAGGAAGCAGCTAACCAAGCTGCGAACCCCGATGCTGGGTTACTCACTTGCTAGGCTCCGAGTGCGCCTTCGTGGAGAGGTGACTTTGGCGCAGCCGGATACGCGAGCGCTGCGTCCTTCGATCTGGGCTTGAAAGCAGCGGACCTGGCGCTGCAGCCGCGCGGCTCCGCGGGAGACCTCTCCGACACAGGAGTTTGCCAAGAGCCCGAGCGCGGCCCGCCGGAGTCTCGTGTGTTGTGGTGGCGGTGCGTGTCTGTCTGTCAGTCAGTCCTTGGCCGTGCGGCTCCTGGCACGCGACTCCCAGGCACTCCAGTTAAAGCGAAGCTGCTTGTGGTTCAGTGGCTGCGTGTCTGGCACACGACTCTCCTTAAAACCCCTTATATACCACCAGGAAAACAATCAGATGTGCCCCCGGGCCCCCACCACATACACACCCTCGCCGCCGCCCGCTCGCCCCCCTGTCACCCCTCCCTTCTGCCCCGCTTCTCCCTCCCCTGGCTTATTCTTTTCATTGCATTATCATCATTCATTTCTTTCTCTTTCTTCACCGCCTTTCCCCCCCTTCTCTGGCCCGGCCATCCATCCATCCTCCTCCTCCCAGCACCACCCCCGCCTCCCTTTCCCCCCTTTATCTAATCAACATAAAATGGTTCTAAAGCTCCCGTTGGAGCTCCCGGCTGCGGCCAGAGCTGCAGAAGCCCTGGCGGCGGCGGCAGCGGCTCAAGCTGCGGCTGTTGTCGCCGCCGCTGTCCATTGTGATTGGTGGCTCGCGCTCGGCTGGAGCGTGCCGCTAATTTATTAATGAATGGAGGTCGCGAGGCGCAGCTGGCCAATCAGGGCGCCCCGGACTCCGGGAGGCCCGCGAGCCACGCGCACCGCAGCTCGCTCCCTTTCTGCAGCTCATTAGGGGCCCGGGCGCTGGGGGCCGATGCAGGGGCGCTGACTGTGTTGAGGGGGGAGGCACCCCGGCTCCCGCCCCCGCCCCAGTCCTCCCGGCCCCCGCGGTTCCCTCCACCACCATCCCCCGCCTCGGCGCTCGCTCACTCGCAGATGCACCCGGCGCTGCTGGGCATCTCAGCTCCCTGGCGAAGGGAGCCGAGGAATTAGTTAATGGGGGTCAGAATCCCGGGGAAAGCTGTTTAGCCCTGTGGTGTGGACCGGCGTCTCTTGGCAAAGCCTCTTAGAGGCTGTATCAAATAGTAAGCGATTAAAAAAAAAAAAAAAGGCATTCAGCGTAGTTAGCAGAGCCAAGAGATGCGAGATATGGGTGGCGAGCTCAGCGTCGGCGAGCGCGTTCGGGTCCCCCAGAAACTGGCGTAGGAGAGCAAAGGTGCGTGAAGAAGAGGGCCTCAAGGAGAGGGGACAGAGGGGGAGCTGTCGATGGGCGTTCTGAGGAGTGAAGGTTAACTCCAGGTTAGGACTGAAAAGAACTGTTAACCTGCAGCAAACAGATTCGAGGGCCCACGCAGGTTTTTCTTTGCATTCGCCCACTTTCTTCTGGGCGGAACGGGAGAGTTTGGGAGGATCACGAAGGAGGCAACGAGCAGAACCGGAGCTGTCTCTACTCGAGGGAGCTGGGGTGGGGGTGGGAACTACGCTGACTCCTTCGTGACCTCTGCTCCGCGCTGGGGGGCGTTGTAGGGACAAGGGGCCCAGCATCCCGACGCCGCCACTGTTCAATGGAGGATAAAAAAAAAAAAAAAAAAAAAAAAGGAGAGAGCTGAAGGGCTACTGGACTTGGGGACTTTGCGGGGCGGATGGGGGGAGACTTGTTCTGCAACCCGCCGGCCTTCCTCCTCCCCGACAGGCTCACACCCACCAGCTCGTCATCCTGGCAGAACCGGAGGCCTGTGCTGGGCCGCGAGGCAGCCGGTGCCCCATCAGGAGGCAGGAGAGGCCCTCCAGTATCTCTGGTGCAAATTCAGTTCGAAGGAAAGAGAATACTATCTAAGGGTTTATCCCCTCAGCTTGTAGGAACTAGAAGCCGGTAGGGTTCCATAGGAGGAGGCTAGAATGGCTGTTAGTGTTTTGACAAACTCTAAGTTGTTTCTTTTCTTTTGTAGAGAGCCAACAATGGTATTGGAAGGCCAGAAGTAAAGAAAATGAAAATGAAGATCCAGTGAAAAGGCTATTGTCACCACAGGTCTCCCAACTGGGAAGTGTGCAAAGCAATCATGACGTGTTTTGCTTTTTCATATGTGTTTTCAACTGTTCCTCCTTTAAAACCCATTCTCTGACTCTAAAAGGCATTGCTCCCCAGCCTTCCTCCTCACTGCCTTCACAACAGATCGGTTTCACTGGCTACCTGTGCAGACCTGAGAAGAGAGGCTCGCTCAGCCCGCCCAGTGCACAGGGTCCACCCCTCACATTTTGCTGTCTCTATATCAGAATCCACATAATCGGAACATCAGAAGTGACTTTGATATCGTGAAAAATGTCAAGATTGCATGCTTTGGCTGCACCACCAGGATTATTTTGTAGGTTACAGTCATGGACACCAAGCAAGCTCAGGTTTTCCTCATAGTTCCACCTACAAGTTAACCCACCAAAAGTGTGATCTGGAGTAGCCCTGGTAGGGATGGAGGGAACATGTGCATTCTAATGGATGCAGTGGTTTTGCCTGTAGATTTGAATAAAATAAAGGAGGAGACTGGTGTACTGTAAGGGAATGATAGTAAATGGCCAAGAATGCACCAAGGAAAGGTGCAGGGATGCCAAGGGTGTCAGTCTGTGCACGCCTACACCTTACCCCAGAGCTGACAGGAAAGAAAGACAAGGCAAAAGATGCAAGCAACAGACAACCAAAAAAGCCTTAGTTAAGCATCATGCAAGCACCTCTTTGGATCCATTGCTTAAAATTTGGGGTTTATTGACAGGATGTTAGGTTTGTTCAATGATAAAACCTATTTGGGGGAAGAGCAGATCCAAATCCAATTAAGTACAGGTTTAAAGGGAAGCCTGGTGAACCTTGTATAATCCCAAGTGACAGTGGGATCCAGCCAGGTCTAATGCTTAGCGCTGGTGATGCACAATGAATTGCTTCAGTGGATGGTTAATAGTATTTGGGCACCTGGTTCCCCACTTTTGGTGTCTCCTCACCACCCCCCAGGAATTTGTGTTATTATAATTCACTGAAGTCCAAACTCTCTGTGCTGCTTGCCAGTAAGAAGTTGAAGTGTGTCTCCAAATAGTCTGTGCAGATGTTTTGTGATGGTAAGACAGCATTAGAGGGCATATATTCTTATTCTAGAAGTCTCTTTCAAAGGACGCAGTAGTTCCATACAGTTAGGAAATATGTAGGGTTGGGAATGTATTCAAACATGGTGCTAAATCACTTTCTAATCCACTGAATTATACAAAATTACATGTATCACTGTTATTTTTTAAATAAGGGTTTTGTCTCAGATGTATGACATTGGTGCATGCAAAGTACACATGCAAAAAAAAAATTCCCTCTTTGAGTCTGGACTGTTTGCATTTTCAAGAGTTGCCTTCCACTTGAAGAGTGAGGACTTCTGGAAATATTTTTTCCATATGAAAATATGTTTAAAAACTAACCCAAAGGATATGCCAAAGAGCCCTCAGGTGGGCAAACCAAAAACCAGCGATTGGCACTCAGTTGCCTGGATAACAGAATTGTATTTGCTCCGCGTTTTGCTTGGGGTGTGTGTGTGTGTAAGCAATTCCGATTTGTACTCGCTTTGTGAAGACGTGACCGCCGCCAAACAACCCGGACTGGACTCTTCTAGCACTCTGTTAACTTAAATCAATTCAAGAGGCACTTGTGTGGTCTGAAAGATTGTCCAGACGAAGCGAGGCTGAAATGTTCCTTGGAGGGGGAGGGGAGCCCGTGAATAGCAGCCGCGAGCCTGGTGACCGAGGGCCGCTCCTGGCCACTGCGTGAACTGTCCCAGAAGGGTCAAACTGTTCATCTCCAGCCCCTCTTTCAGTGCGCGATCCTACTTTAAGAGAACAAAAGCTCAAGGCAGGCGGTTACTGAGAAATGGGAGCACAATGATTTAAACTCATCCCCAAGCCTTAGAAAAGAAGGGTGAGGGGAGGAGGAGGAGCGGGTGCGTGTAAGCTGAAGAGTGAAGGGAGGGGAGGGGTGGAGAGCTTTAGAAAGTCTTTGTTGCTTTTAAGAAGCTTGAACTCTGAGCCGACCCAAAAGCCCTAAAGTTTAGTGTAGGTGTTGCCTTGGGGGCCGAACCACACTTCGACCTCACAAGTGGCTTGAGGGCAAAACGGGGAGTCTCCCGGGGCTGCGAAGGAGGGCGCCCTTGCCCAGGTCTGGCCGTCGGGCGGCGCGGACGCACAGGCCAGGAGATGGCAGGAGCTAGGTCTTCCTCCGGCATGGGGAGATCTCAGAAAGCCAGGATGCCGAGGGAAATCCTGCGCGTCTGCACCTCCGCAGACTCCTCAGCTCTCTGCTGAGGGCCAGCGGTGCAGTTTCCGAGCAGGAGAGGCCGAGGTGACAGTGGCTGCCTTGTTGGCCCAGGATCCCCGGACTTCTGCTAGGTGAGGGTCACTCTGCGGTGCCCGCCCTGGCCGGGAGAGGCGATGCACGCCAGCCCAAGGCGAAACCACAAGCGCCCAGGCCACCTGCGCCCAGGACTCCAGACGCTGCTATCGCTTCGCGTCCTCAGGCTAGCCTTTTTTTCTCTCTCCTGGTCCGGTCGGGAGAGGAGGATTCGCTTCCAACCTGAGTCTGGGCTGTGCCGACGTGGCAGCGC